AGCAACCACCTTGCAGTTTCCTCCTTTTTGACAAATATGGCATTTTATCCTATGTTTTGAAGCTGAATGTCATAAAAGTTATTTGTATCAAATGGCAGACGTCTTGATGGTTATCATTGGCCCTTTAGTTGACTTCAGGCTTCACAGAGGGGAAGGAACATCAAATTGAAAAAAATCGAGAGGGGGGGGGGAACAGAAGAGTGTTTCAAAGATGTAAGAGACAAACACAAAAGTAGAAAAATGTGAGGTGAGTACTGTGGAAGTTGTCGAATAGGGCATAAAGTGAGGTGATGGTAGTTTGAAGTGAGAAGTCAACTGCCAGTTAATAGACTTTTTTCCGTATGAATATACATTGCCCAGGGTGTACCACGTGGAGGTAAGTCTATCGCACACCCCATGTCATAAAAGTAAGTGTTGGTTAAACCTCAGCTATCTCTATTTCAAAATCCCCTAGTGTAAGGTTACTCTCAAAATTGTCTAAGCTACTTCAATAATATTGGGGAAGCAGAGAGTACAGTGTGAAAAGCATTTATTTGGTTGCGTGGCGCTGACACTGAGCTTAGTCATTAAAATGCAATTTTGGCTATTATGACCATGCGGTGACAACTGATTGTTGATTGGCTGATAGGTCTCTTCGTTCACGACAGCACTTTATGACTACGTCTTCAACGGCACGCCGCCAGTTACAAACTGTTTGAGCGCGAATGAGATTCCTTGCCTGAGTGTGTAAATGGGAGACATTTAGCTACCACAAAAGTCCTCAAATGGAAGGGAAACTATTCTTGCACACAATAACTTAGTAATAATGATCCTAACGGTTATTGAAAACACAGTGAATATAAATCAAAGATAATAAAGAAGGAGCGTTCTTGGATAAGTCCGACAAAACTAAAATCAGCGTGAGACCTGAGAATAAGGAAGTGTAGCCTCGCCTGAATTTTGAGCACATAATTTTTGAACTGTTCCATTTGCGGGAGCAAGATGTTTGGAAAGGCAAATTATGAGTTCAGGGATGCTACGACCATTTAGGCGATAAATTTATTTATAGATACAAATATTAAGTGAAATGCGCCATTTTTACTACCTCTGACTGTTAGGCACAACTTCATGACACCATTGGCCACCGTAGTAGAAATTGTAGTTAAAACGAAATATGAAGTAAACAACGCCAATAGAGTTGAACCAAGGAATCTCGTTGGCACTCACATTCTGACACGGGCAGCGGGCAACTGAACACGTTAAAGAGCATGAGAGCCGAGAGCGAAGGGACATATCAGGCAGTCAACTATCAGTGGTCGCCGCATGATCATAGGAGCCAAAATTGCATTTTAATGATTAAGCCCAGAGTCAGTTCCACGTAACCAAAAATGCTGTTCACACTGTACTCTCTGCTTCCCAAATATCATTGGAGTAGCTTAGACTATTTCGAGAGAGCATAGGGAATGCTGAGGTTTTATGACATTCAGCTGCAAAACACAGAATAAAATAGCCCAATAGAAATTTTTAATAGTGGTAAGGGAAATGGTGGGAGCGAAAGCTTAGAAACGTTGAAAGGTATTTCAGCAGAAAAAAGAGAGTTTATGAAAGAATTTTGTCTGCAAATGACACTCCAATGATTTTAAAAAAACAAAAATTCACCATTTATTGGTAAAACTCGAAAATGGTTTCATTTTCTGACAAAGATGTTAAGCACTGCTTAGTAAACTCAATTAGTCTCCAAAGTAGAAACATGTAAACAAATTAGTGGACTAAAGTTATCCAAAAATAAGCCAAGGCGACGGCCTTGCAAATTCGCAATTTCGATAATATAGCATAATGAACAATTATTAATAAAACTTTTAATTCAAAGTTAATCGGATAAAAGGTAATCATTTTATCTACCATTATTTTTTAGTATTCTTTTATAATGGATTCTATCGATAAGCATCTGAAGATCTTAATTTTAAGTGAGGAAAAATATTATTACTAATTATTGCGATAAAGTAATATCTGAGGCTAAGAACCCTTATGCCAACAAAGATTTTTTTCTTGCAAATTGAAATCAGAAAAATATATTTATCATAATGTATCAAAATAAAATTAAAAAATTTTATAACAGTAGAATTACATTTTCCATTGTTCCATTAAAAAAGAATTCCCTTTAATGATTCGTTTGGAAGTCTTCCCGACAAATCATCATTAATTCAGTTCGAAGTCACATGCGGATATAAGCTCTAAAAGGTGAAGGGAATGTAAATAAATTGATACTGATCCTTAATATATGACAGATAATATTTACATGCATGATTATAGAAGATGGATGAAAAACTCTCCACCCCATTTACTAGATTATCTGATATACATGAGCTTATTGAAACTTTTCGATGGGTAAATAAAATATTCTCTTTTGCGTTTGCTCTAGATGTAATTTTAAGTAGTTTATTGATGCGTCTTTCGAAATAATATAAAAGTGTGCAACTTATAAATCCATCTGCACAAAGTTGTTGAGATTAATATGAAATGAATTTTTGCGAAAGAATGTTATTCAAAGATTATTTAGTTATTCTGAATGGGCTAAAATATGACAGGTATTCAGTTTCTTTAACTGTATGCGACGCTACGCATTAATACGGATTGGTGATTATATACAACGCGATCTTTCGGTGTACTAAATCTGTTTTAATTGTTAAACTGATCAAGCTGAATCGCTCAAATATAAAATCATCTTTTGATATGATGAATGTATCTGAGAATATGACTGATTGTAGTTCGACGGTAGATGTTCGCGCTCGACGTAGAAAACTTCATACTGAAGCAGAACAGCGCCGTAGGGACGCAATAAAGGTTTGATACTGAATATTATTTAATCTATTTCAGCGCGGCTTTGACAGTTTACTCGAGCTCATACCCTCTACGAAAGCCGGTGCGGCCAATTCACGTTTTAGAATGAGCAAAGCGACTATTTTAAACAGATGTAATTATCTTATTTCACATTATCTTGTAGCCATTTCTATGATACTTAAAGGATCGAAAATTCAGAACCAAAAACGCATGGAAATTGAAATGCTTAAAAACAAGGTTCAAGCTCTAAAAATTCTTAAATCGTAAGATCACCATATCTTGAATGTTTCATTGCTTCACCTTCCTAGAAGTTACGAACGTATGTCAAGTGCCTCTAACTATACGACAGAAAACGAGGATACAGCAATAACTGAACAGTATAAACTTCAACTTTTTCAAATGTTTATGGAAAGCCTATTTCAATCTTTCGATGCCACTGTCACAGAATCGACTTTTTCTGTACTATCAGATCAAATTGTTAATTGGCTTGAAAATACATGCAAACCTGAGGTATTTTTTGCTTTTACCCTTATGTTCGAAATGTATTATATCGAATAATTTAATTATTGTGCTTATTTAGTGCCGAACTTTCTTTGTTTTAGTTGTTACATCGTATCATGGAGCATTTATTGGATACCACTCTACAAGATGGATATAATATACCGAACTCCCAGCCACAAAGAACACAACAAGCTCCCCCTCAACCCCAAAATACAATGTTTGAAGTCCAGACAGCTACTGATTGTATGGGAGAGCAGCCGAGAATACCATCTAATTCCTATCGCCGGCAATCATCAAAACCTTCCAATAGTCTTGAGGCCTCACACGAATCACCTTTTCTCACACCAGATTCACCTATGAATGTGCCTGATTGTTATCAACAGTCATCTGCCCCAGGTTTTCAACGTGTTGTCTTTGACCCATCCCCTACCTTTGAGACACCGCACTCCATTTATTCTGATCAGTCTCAGCAGCATTTACAGCAACAGTCGGGTTATATGCGTCATCAACCCCTCTTTCAAATGCACAGTTATCAGTCATCAGATGGTGGGAACGCTGGTAAATTTTCAATGGAGATGCCATCAAATCCTCTTCAACGACATTCGTCGGTTACATCTCCTTCACAATCTTCTCTCTTTCAACGATCGCCAGGCTATAGCGGAATATGTACCAATCGAAGTTTGGTGGTAAACAGTTCTCTTCCAGCACATAATTTAGGGGCAGTTACTTCTTACGTTTCTCACCAACAAGAGGGCTTATTTACAACACCACAAGTGCCGTATAGTAGTGGCGTTGGTGGTGATCACATGCTATTACCGAGTGGAACTTTTACGAAACAGAATCCATTTTAGGCACCCTTTCGCTCCCCATGCCCGGTACATTTATTCTCCTCATTTCCTTGTTTCTATTTTCACGCATCCTAATCAAATCATTATCTATTTTATGTATAACGCAGAGTGATATATTGTTATTTGCTGTTATGAAATTTCCACCATATTAACGTTTGTATGGAACTGCTTCTCCCTACCTCGCCTAACTTTGCCGACGATTTCTAACATCTATTTTATGTAAATAGAGATGGTGATTAATTCAATCAGAGGATGTAATATATGATCTGGTATTAATTTCACCCCGATGATCGTGTCATTTTGAAACATGGGTGTGATTTTTTCCTAGAAACGTCGCTTAATCTGCAAGCAATTGTTAACAATTTATACGAGTCGGCAGTTTTCTTAATTAAGTTGGAACCTCAATTAGTGGAAATAGTATTAATAGCTGGTTGGCTAAAATAAATGTGCATCAATACATGTTTTTTTGGGGTGAAAATATCAACTTAACCTTACCATTTGTATTTATTTAAAGCCTTTTTGCACAAGAATTACAAAACATAAGTAAAGTTTTACAGGACGCTTATACGAGTGAAGTTTTTGACAGGACAAGTACTTTTGGAGAGAGTTGAATTTTTAACCTTTAAAAGGACATTGTCATCAATTTAAGGGTGGATATTTACAATTGCTTCGTGTAACTGCGCACTTGAGATCAACATCATTGTTGTCGCCAAGCTTCCATCAAAATACACATTCAGTCTTGGCCTTCACGCACGTCGGTAGTAATGTATTCTAACGGTCACACAGGTTCACAACTTTTAAATGGGGGGGGGGGGGTAGGAACCGATCCATCATTTCTCCGCATTTATACACTTCAGCCAAATTATATAACCGGCTACTAACTTTAAATGCATTTTAATACCTGAAGTTTGGGATCTAAAGAGTCAAATTTGGCTCTGAAATATACTACTTTGATGGGCACATGTAATTCCGATAATTCAACAAACCGCCAAAATCGGAAAGCAGTTCAAATTCTCCACTGTTTTGGGTATTAAGCTCCTTAGATTGTATTTAATTAAATCACGTTTTCGTAAGTCAAAAGCCAATATTATAGATTTTGGCATTTCAAATTTGCATTTAGCATTGCAGTTGGAAATGAATAAATGCTTACTCCTATCATTGTGCTGTATCCTGGTTGTACAAAATTCCTATCAAGATGAGTGAGTTTATTGTGTTTCTCTTTTTATTCATGGTGCATAGTTTGCTACTAGTGGGGGGGGGGCGATAAGTATTCTTTTAAATTCGAGTTTGTTCATCTTAGATTTTAACTTAATTCTATAATGAAAAGGATTTTTGTCTCCATTTAATACATTACCAGCCAAGTTGACAACTGATAAGCATATTTAATCTCTGTAGGATAGTGTTGGCCAAAATTTATCTCTTTTTAAAACTGCTAGAAGATGACATCTGCGCAAAAGTTCGTGCGATCTTGTCATGATTGCAGCACACAAGAAGCGTTAGAGAAGACCACAAACTATTTCCCACTTTTAAAATATGAGAAGATTTACACGCATGCTATTAGTCCTGTCATACCTGTCGGTTCGTTTAGAAATTGCACCAAATCGTAAAATAAATTTACATTTTGATCGCGAATTTCGTGGACACACCCTTTCCCTCCTCTCTGTATGTTTACCCTTTTCTGCTTAGCCGTTTATTTTGTATACCAAGTAGCAGAAGTCGAGAAAAAAATCTGCATGGATTTGCATTTATAGCTTAAGCATTGCGTGAGGTGGTAACCGTGTAGATTTCTATCACTCAGTGGTAGGTAAATTAAATTTCGCCAGATTGCACTCGAGTTTTGCACGTAATAAACCCCCCCCCCCTCCCTCCGACTCTGAGGGAATTTTTTTGTTGTGTATTAGTTAATAAGGTGTGGCCCTTATCAAGAAAGCTGACTGTGTGTTTAGCTTTTGAGAGCATCTAAACGACACTTTTTAATGAACTATTGAAATGCAGAATTACGAATGCATTGGCATCTCCTAATATACCGGAGTTTGGGATTAATTTTTCCTGATTTACTAAGGGGATTTATACACACACACACACACAGCACTTACTTTAAGAGCCTAAAGCCCTCTTCACGGAAATGAATGACTGATTCATGGAAAAAGAATAATTATTATCGAGATTATTCGTGTCAACCATCAAAACAGACTGGTCACTATTCAATGCTCACCTAAACCATCTGAAAATATACTGATAGGAATTGGCGTAATGGACTACGAGGTTGCTTTGGTTATAAGAAGACATCGTAAGCAGACGCGATTTGAACTGATTGCACAAGAATGATGGGTTACTGAAAAAACTCACTGGAAGAAAAATACTGGAGACCTCTTGGATCGGAATTCATCTCTGTTAATCGAGTTTTTCAGCCTCTACCACGAAGTTTATACTCACGGAGGACTTTCGATACTTCAAGCCACGAAAATTATCTGGCGTTTTTTTTCAAATTCAAATGCAAAACACTCTGATTAGCAGGTGGTTCCGATTTTATACTATCCAAAGAAAACTCCTCTATTTGTCCTCCTTCGATGCTGATGTCATACCTTTTACTTATTTAAAGAGGAGCTTTGATTGAACTCAAGTGCCTACGTGGAATTACTAGCCCCTGTAATAGTTAAGACTAGGATAATATGAATAGCAACACCAGGATTCGATCCCTTGCCTCGTCTCAGGGAGAAATCAAAATCGGTTATCAGTCCATTTTCACGAATTCCGAATTCCGCTCTGTCCCAGATAGTAAACCAATGCACTAATCGTCGTGTCGGTACTACGGAAATTGATTAATTAATAGACACAATTATAGTAGATTTTGGAAGCCTTTTCATGCAGAAGCTGCAAAATCAGCTTGCTTCAGGTTCCCGAACAGGGGAAAGATTTCTGCTTTGATATTCACTAATGTTTTTTAAATCAGCCACATTTTCTTTTTCTTGATGAAATGGACCTCATGTTTATTGCACGCTCCTTAAAGAAAAAGCATGCGACAACATCTTCATTCTTATTCCAAACTCCATGACTTAAAGATGGTCGAGAGACAGTAAATAGTGCTATGGTTCTTGAAAGAGGTGTTGTGTGCAAGATATAAACTTGACTTTGTCTCCATGCACGCACGCACGACGCATTTACCTAAAATTAGTATGTGAAGCTTAAGTGAACTGCTTCTGTTGAGCTAATATATTAGTAAGACAAATGTGAATCTAATTCATAATCGAAGCAAGAAAATGTACGCTTAGCTCTGATTTTGCTTGGGAAAAAATAAATAAATTTTGAGTTTTAATGAATAAAAATGTTAAATATATTGAATAGAAGATATTGGCTATTTTTCAGATTCTTCCATGACCAACTTTAATGACTTTGTAAGCCCCCATTAAGGACTGGTTTTCACAACACTTGATCTGAATATGTTGAAGGTATTCTGGAGCTTAGGCCTTAAGAATCGCCCATTCTTCTCACGACTATAATACCACAATGGTAGTTGAATTAGAAAATTTGAAGGTATATTCTATTCAACAACAACTGTAAATCATAATTGTAGAGGTTATTATTATATCAAATGGCAGGCGTTTCGATTGTTATCATTAGCCCTTTAGTTGACTTCAGGCTTCAGAGAGGGGAAGGAACATCAAAGTGTAAGAAATTCAAGAGGGAGGGGGGGACAGAAGAATATATCAAAGACGAAGGTAGATAAGGTGGAAAAAAGGTGGGATGAGTACTGTGAAAGTAGTCGAATATGACATACAGTGGGGTCATGGTAGTTTGAAGTCAACTGCCTGGTAATAGACTTTTTCGCCGTATGAGTATACGTTGCCCAGGGTGCACCGCGTGGAGGTAAGTCTATCACACACCCCAGTAATTGTTAAGGTAGTTAAATGTATCCTGAGAT